ACCCAGAGGAGGAGCTGATCCCAAAAGGTGGTTCTAGTCCCAACCGGTTGTTTTTGCTCCCCTGCCTGGCTGCCTCAGGAGGATTTCTCAAACATGAATGAGTCAAAGCAAGACTCTGGGCATGTTTTTGYTGAGAAGAGAACATTATAATATTATATAAAACTCAAACGAGTTGATTTTACATGATATAGCCCCTTTAACCCAGCTGTTATTCTCTGTTGGTTTACTCTGGTGTCACTTACATGTCTGCCCTGTTTGGGACCGGTGGGTGTGCTGCTCGAGCTGCGAGGTGTAGGTCCCAGTAACCCCGCGCTGCCCAGCAGACCCAGCCTGGCTGCTGGAAGGCTCCTGGAGGGCATCTGGAACTGATGGAGGCCCCTCCTGGCCGACACGCTGCCCCCAACACAGGCACTGGTGGGCAGAGAGTTGGACTGACCGAAACGACTGCAGTGAAGGACAGAAGTGATGTTAACATCTGTTTCAGTAGAGCCAGTTTTAAAATAATAATAAAATTATATTTGTTAACAGATGCACATTGTAATAAATTAAACAGTAATTAGACACGGACAAGAGAAGAAGAGAATAATTAGAGCGTGTCAGTGACTGTACCTCCTCTGCGGTCGGTACCCTGCTATGTCAAGGAGGGTTTTCCTTGGAATAGACCGGAAGAGCCGCTGGACCTGCTGTTTCCATGACAACAGTCTCTTCTTCAGCGTCTCAGTGAAAGACTGACACACAGGTGGAGAGGAGAACAGTTAGTGTGAACRACGAGTGAAATACAGCTAACACAGCTCTTCCATCATAATACAGTTTTCTACATGACACAGACAGTGTCAAAGTGTCACAAACACACGGTGGATTCAGTCAGAAAACAAGCRGGACATTTCCTAAAGTGCCCGTGACATCAGATTTTTGTAATAAATATGAATGTATAACATTGATAACATATTATAAAAAAGATTTCACACCGCTGASGTGAACAGTTGTTGAGATATTTGCATGTCCAGTAACAGGAAGTGATGTCAAAGGGGAATGTCTGAATGTAAAGAGTGTTGCTAAAATGGCCAAAAACACAGACTATAGAGAAGAATCTGATGTTTCTTTAGATTATTTTAATAACTATCGTAGAGAGATGAGAAAGAGTCATATAGTTAATATAATATTGTTTCAATAAATTAAAACCAGAGTCGTCTTTCTCAGAGTTCCCCTTTGATGTCACTTCCTGTTTCACTTTATCTGAGCCAAATTCAAAATAAAATGTGCCAATTATGTGACATAACAGGTCAAATCATGTGTATTATGCCAAGTTTCTTAAATATAAATATATATTTTTTAACTTTTTATATTTCATGGATTTCATTTCACAGGCACAAGGAAAATAAATGCCTATATGATATTAAACTAAAATGTTAATCATTTATAAATTAAAAATAAGAGCAAGGCCAGTTCTAAAGTGATTTCTCTGCACCAATTAAAAATTTAAAGCAGTTCATGCAAACATTATTTTTTATTTTATATAGCTGTCAATTTTGCATTACAACGTTATTCCAACACAAATATGACAATCCTGCTGCTGCTGTTAACATAATTCTGTGTAAATAAAAAACTAAACTGGTGTAAAGGTTATAAAACACAGAAAAAGATGCTCATCTGTGAAATCTTAGGGATCTGAGCTGACTAGCTGCGAGTTCATCAGTAAAGTCAGAATTTAACTCCTAATTCTTCAAACTGAGGTCATTCAATTTATTTATTTTATTAATTTCCTTTATTTTTAACAGGAAAATCCCATTGAGATTAAAAGCCTCTTTTTCAAGGGAGTCCTGGCCAAGAGGCAGCAAAAAGTATACATTTACATAGAGTTACACAATTAAAACACAATACAAATAATCAATATTAAAAACATTCACAACTGAAGGGAGTCAAAGAGCCATCTACAACAGGTAAGATACTGTTTATACCCTTTCTGCCTCATCAACCAATCAGTTACATAAGTTTAGATCTAAATACCATGGGGTGGGGGGGCCTACCTCATGGATGAGGCACTTGTCAATGAGCTGCAGGTAGGAGCTGATGTTATCCTCATCTGGCCTCGACACCAGCAGCTGGGTACAAACTGAGGACAGGATCAAAATGAAAAACAAGCTGCGTCTCGCTTCACGAAAACAGTCTCAGCACAGTGCAGGTGCATGCAGCTCACCTTTGCCCATGACGCGGGTGAACTGACCAGGTAGATCCCCCTCAGCGATCACGCTCGTGCCCGACTCGGCCTCACCTCCTCCGCCACCCCCGGAGAGATGGGAGCCTGGCGCGGTGCTCTTGCTCTTTGGGGTCAGCAGGGGGCGCTGCAGGGAGGACTCTTCACCACCGCTGAAGGCCTTGATGGGAGTCATGATCATCTGGTGGAGCTCCTGCAGAGGGGCACGTAGATTCCCACCCTCCAAGACATCCTGGTCGATTGTTCAATGAATAAACACACGGGCAGCTCAGGAGAGGGTTCTTTTTTTTTTTCTTTTTTGACAGCCTGATGACATTTTAATTTACAGTTTCAAACAGAAGAGCTGCATCTTTGAGCTACTTTTGTGAACTCATCTTCACCTTGATGATTGTTTCAACACACGACAGGGAGATTAAAGCAATACTAAAAACAAACCTGCTTCTCATTCACAACTTGTGTCCACACGCACGCCATGCAGCCCCCCTCCTACCTTTTACAGAGCCATCATGTCTGAACACAAGTGTGTGTAAACCCAAAATACCAAGCAACAGGTGTCGTGTTTCCCAAGCCACACAAATGCAGCAGTAACACAGTTTAAAATGAAGTGTTGTTGAAAAGGTTACGTCTGAATTTAGCTGGCCTCCTGCAGCGTGCCCTTGACTATCATTGTCTTCCTTTGACGGCTGAATGGGAAGGAGAATGGTCAGCGGGAGGCACAAGAGTTTAAATCCAGAGCTCAAAACGCTCTCTTCTGAATTAGGTGTTCTGTTTCCAGCCGTCTCAGACACGCAACACCGACAAAGTGACCCCATTCACTCAGACTTATACACAACATGAGATGTGAAGTTCTGCGTTAGCCGCAAAGGTTTCAAAGCTCAGTCTGAAGTTTGAGAACAAAGGTTAAAAAAAGACCACAAGTGCAGGTGCTCTAACCTTTTCCAGGCTGCGGAGAAGGTTCTGCCTCTCTTTAAGCTTCTGAATGCTGATGACAATCTTGTGTCTTGCTCCTTTAGTGACTTTCTGTAGGAGGAAACAGGCTGGCATCAAACATTTGTTGGTGAAATACTCTAGAGACGTACAATATGTTGATTAAAAACCTCAGATATCATGTTGGAAGAAAGTTTTAAACAGGGAGGAAGACGAGTTTTGAAATTATTAACCAGGACAGCAGAAGGAATTCCATTTAGTGTTTTTATGGTGGTTAAGCTTCCTTCAGACTTGATGAAATAATGGCCAACCACAATACAGGGTGAGTCAACAGTCTCAGGACACCCTTTTGTTTAAGAAAGTAAAGGAAAAATGAAATATCTGWATATCCCAACAAGTATCTTTTAGGCCTCGTCCAGAACATGGCCACCATGTCAAAGCTGCCATATTGGATCAAAATAAAAGGGTATCCTGTGACTTGATTTACCTTGTATTCAAGATAAAGCATTAAACTGAATGCATCAGACAGAATCCTTGTTGCTGTTTTTAACCCTGTTATCCTCGTGTCAGTGAGGCTGTTCATAACAGAGTGGAACAGAAAGAACTGGCAGCACCTGGAGGAAGCAAACAGCTTCCTGGGCAGCTGGAGCTGGATTAATTTTAGATGCATCCTGCTGTTAAGAATAGATTCCTCAATGTCTTTATATACAAATAAAGCAGTCGCTTTGTGAGTTTTTAAACCATTTATGTTCCAATGTTGTCGACATTGCCACACTCTCAGTGTAGCAACAAAATATTCTAAAGATAGATTTAAATTTGTCGCTATGTCATTACTTTATTAAAAAAAACAATAGTTTTTGCTCCTAAGTATTGCTTACTCCTTAAAACTTAAATMAAGCTCTGAAGTCTTGTTCTTTATTGTTCTGATTTACTTTGCAGTTTCTATATTTCTGCATTATAAAGTTAATAGTTAATGACTAAKAGTACGCTCAAAGTTCTCATTGCCAGTCTTCTCTGGCTACAAAATAAATGTCCCAAATTATGGTTTTTATTACCTGGTTCTAAAAGGCAATAATGTTTTACCCATGTCTCTTTGTTGTTGTTGTTGTGTTAGCAAAATAACAACAACAACACAAACAGATTCTAATGAAACTGTCAGAAAGAAATCATTGATTGAACACCTGAAACTGATTAACTTTTAGGGTCTATCCAATTTAAGATGACCACCACAGCTAAATAACTTTAGCCTTCACAAAAGTGGATTTAACTTTGTCAATTGTACCAACATTGAGCTACAACCTGGCGTGGTAGTAGCTGAGACTGATCCTTAACTTATATTCCAAAGGTTAGCAGAATACACAAGATTTATTTATGTAACTGTTAACTATCAGTTAAAACCAGATGAACAAAAACATTTAGAGTTAGCTTATAACAAGCTGAACAAAAGACAAAGGACAGGCCAACAGAATGAACCGTCTGACAGTTGTTGTATAAAGTACCACAAAGTGACACTTGAGTAAAAGTACAAGTACAGTATCTTACCAAAAAATTACTTTGGTAAAAGTTAAAGTCTCCTTTAGGAATATTACTTAAGTAAAAGTCTTAAAGTATCTGATATTTTTGTACTTCAGTATTAAAAGTAAAACTACTCATTTAAAATGAACAGTTAAGATTTTCTGTAATGACATTTATTAGGAGGTGACCTCCCCAAAAAATGTAGAAATAACTGTTGTATTAAAATGATTAATTTGTTAATTTAGGATGCACTAGTCCGGCTGTTTCAGTTTATATACATATATCAAGGCTGCACAAACCTTTTCTCCAAAATGACAATCTGAGGGCTGCAGCCGAATACAATAATATAATTCATGAAATACAAATACTTCTTAAGTACAGTCCTTTTGTTTTAATGATTATGTCCTGCTGGAGTGTGACATGATTTGTTTGTGTATAAACTAATACGG